ATTATTTTTACTTATTTCACTTTATATATTATAAAAAAAAATTATGACAGGATATATAATTAGCGTAATAAGGTCAAATGAGTTGAATAATTTATTTGGTTCGCAATTAAAAGCAGTAATGCCGAGTGGCTTTGAAGTAGCATAACGATTTTCAGGTAGACGCCTTCTCTTCCTAGAGCCTCACACAAGCACAGTAATTAAAGGAAGTGGTACTTTTCCGTTCTTTGAAATACACAGCCGTAATTTTTCAAAGGCTGCCGCCGTTTGGAAAGGATTAAACGCGTTAAACCTTATTTTCTTTTGCAACTATATTTTTTTTCTAATGGCTAATCTAATAAAATTAGAAGATAATTGCTCCAATTGTTCTGAAAGCACATACGGAAAATTTGTAAGTCAACTTTGATAAATACATATAACACAGTATTAGAATGTTTAAAGTTGGTTCAATGCTCTAGCTCTATTTTTCAATACATTATTTAAAAATTTAGTGGAAAACACACTTTTCTAAAAAATATCAGTGTTCACAGTATTTATATGTATATCAAAACAAATGACATTATTTTACCAAAAATTTAGTAAGAAAAATGTATACAAATCAAAATAACTTAAAAAGAAAAAATATTTATTTTATATTATAAAAAGCAAAGGCAAAAGTACCTTAAAATATATTATTCCTCTTAAAAGAAAACTCTTAATCAATGACTCGCTTATCTCGAAAACTTAGAATTCTTAAACAGTTAACTTATTTGGACAAAAGATGCAAGCGTTCGAGAACGCCGCAGACGCAACCGCAAGGTGAGAAGTCGAACTTTCACAATGAGAAGGATGGAGGAAGAGAGAAATCAGTTTAACGAACTAACACCTAGCAAACGTATTTCCTTTTCCTTCTCTCTCTTTCTCTCTATTCCCTCCCTCCGTGTGGCTTTTTTTCGTTAGATCGAAGGCGATGCGCGCAGCGGCCGTTCTATATCGGGGCGAGACTCAATTGGGTTCTGGACCGCGGTTATCCGTTTATCGCTATATAACCACCGGAGGGTTGGCGAGGCGGATACATCCCCGCGAAAAGAGAGCGATTAATCACGTTTTACTCGGCTCCGAGTCAGACCGACCAATTTGGCCGGAAAGGTCGTTGTTTGCTCGATAAGGCGCGCCGGGGGTGGAAAAGCGAAGCCGGCGATGCCCTGTGGAACAATCGGCGAATCTCTCGCCGGTGATCCGCAATATAGACAAACAATCTTATCCGGTCACCGACGTAGGAAAACTTCAGTCGCTTTCGTTCTCTTCTTCTCTCTTTCGCTCCCTTAGCAAGCAACCGTTCGTCCCGATTCACGGAGTCAAATCTCTACCAAAGTCTACCTCCTCGATCTTGCGTCGGCTCTGGACGCGTCGGAGGGTGCATTTTTCATGATGCATCTGGAAACACTCGACTTGTAGCGTCTTACCGCGGTGGGTAAGGCATTCCGGGTTTCTTTACGACGTGAACGTGAGATGGTGTTCCTTGCGGTTGGCGAGGATATCGTTTTACGACATCGCGCTGCCAATTTGATAGTAATTTTCGACAATGCGCTTTAGTGTTTCAATGTCCAAAGAAACGATAACTGCGCAGAATAAGCTTGACAAGTATATAAATAATAGAAAGCACGATCTTCTTTTTTCATACTTCTCTATTATTGCCCTCTGTAGTCTTGACTATCTTTTATTAGATTTATTAGAGAAATATACGGAGATAAAAACTAGGTGAATTTAGTTAAGCTATAAAGCTATTTAAGTAATCGTACAATTTTCTTTTTTTAAAAAACAAATGTTGTTTAAATTTGAACTAAAATAAAATAATGTAATGCCGTTTCTAAAAATTGTTAATTTAAACAAAATTCCGATTGTGATCAAAAAGCGAAATGCTACAGAGTCGTGCATATATATATACATGATTTCTAACGAAATAAAATCAAACAACACCGTCGAGACCCTCCATCTGTCTCTCTTTTTCCTTCTCTCTCTCTCTTTCTCTTTCTCTCCGTTCTCATATCTCTGTCTCTATCTATATCTGTGTGAAGAGACCGGAGGCCCGCAAGCGGTAAATTAATTCGAACGACAAGCGCAGTCGGCGCTTCCACTTGCGCCGAATAAACATCAGGGCCAGAAGTTGACCAGACCGGGGCGATCCACGCTGGAGGACCCGCCATATCTGGGATCTACGTGCCCATTTCCCGTGGTCCGTATAACGTATTTGGCACCGATCCTCCGCTGCATCTGCATCGGACGTCGTCGGCGTTGCACAGGACGGATTATAGGACGTATATCCCGTCGATTGCAAATTGCGCGACCCCATCTCCGGATGCTGTCATTAAATGCTTAATACTTATAATGATGATATTGATATCAATATTGGCGCACAAGAAAAATAATCTGCGCAAATTTGTTTCAAATCTCTAGCATGCCTTGGAAAAAGTTGCAAAATATTTAGTATCTGATTATATTTGTGTTCGAACTACTTACTCTAATACTTTTTACAACTCTTATTTTTTTCTAATACATCTTACTGTTTAATTAAGCGCAATTTTTAATATACAATAATGTGGATTTGAGACATGTCTTCACATTGAAACTTCATATTTTTAATGGTTGAATTATTGCTTTATTCTTATGATTTATCTTGTAATTGACTTGAGACCTAGTCGTGCGAGGGCTAAGCGATGTAGCCAGATTGCAATAGTAGATTACCGGAGGAACTAACTACCGTTCATGGACTGTAATCTAAACAAGCTATCATTAATTTTACTACGTGTGGTGGATGCTCCTAGTACCAATAAACATCAGGGACAGGGACCATGCCCGCCGGCGTTCCTGACGCACTTTGGGTGATGGCATATATTCGAGATATACAGCGCGCGTTTGTATAATATACGTATATTTAGTATCACGGTGTATTTCTCTCTCTCTCGGCACCAGATGTTGCCGTTCGCGCGGTTCGGACTTCGCGACGAACGTTCGTTCATTATTTCGCGACTACCTCATGCTAATTTCGAATAAATTCGGACTTGAGTATTTCGTATCTGCGCGCGCGCTTTCGAATGATTTACGGCTTGCTTTTAGCTACTTCACACAAAATACATCAAAGATAGAAGATAAATAAACAAAATTCAGTAAATCCAAAAAAATAACTGCAAGCAATCATTTTATTTCTTGTTTATCTAATAATTCAATTGCTCATTTCTAGATTGAGAGAAATATTTTTATTTTGTGTAAAAATATGGTTTTTTTTTGAAAATTTGCATTATTTTTAAATGAAAGAGAATTTCATTAATCTCGGCATACTATCATTGAGTTTATCTTATAAATAGATAAACATAAAAATTAATTTGATATTTAAGAGCATGACGTATTTATTTGCTTAAAAAATAATTTTATATAATTGCTCTTTTTGCAACTTTTTGGAATTATTTTAACGCAAGCAAATTATACTATTTTAATCTATTATCGACGCAATTGTCGATAGTCGATGGATAATCGATTGTTATGCGCGATATAGTACATTTCTACTCTCTGTTGGTGGAATTATGTCAAGATCTAGTACGGCTGAGGTTAAATCGAATTTATAGCATTGAACCGATTGTTCGAGCAGTTAATCGGTACATCAATCACAGAAAAAGGAAAGAGCAATTACGCAACGATATACAAGCTATTAAGCTTTTATCACGATTCTTTAGCAGGTAGTAGTATTCAGGATACCTATTCAAGATCAAACATTAGACAGAAACTATTTAACTATTATATATAGTTATATAATAGTTAAATAGTTATATAACTATTATATAATTTTTATTATATATGTAAACCGTTAATAAAAACACAAATTTACTTCCTAACTTTCTCTTCATTGTCAGAAAAATTTAAGATAGATAAAATATATTTAAATCACTTTAATAAAATTTATTAACATTTAATCGATTTAACCATTAGTGAGAGAGAGATCTGATAATCTAAAATATTTTTAATTGGATATAGAGATAAACGATTTGCCTCGCTGTTTGCTATGCATGATTTGACATGAAACACTACCGTGTCTTTTGATTATTCTATTGTCCATTATTGGTTAAAAAATTTTATTTATGTGGAAAAGGAGAAAGTCACCAGCGGAAATTGATAAATATATGACAATTCATATTTAGATATCGTATACTAAGATAGAGTAACTCGATGCAATAAATCGTAACGCAGTACGAGATGAAATATTTGCAAAAAAGCGCGATCGTTTCTCCTCTATTTACTGCTATTGGATAAACATTCGGGCAAGAATCTGACAGCTCGACGGTGGATAGCGTCGCGCTTCCCGGAGTAAAGTGGTATACTCGAGCTACACTTTATTTATTTTCCGGACTGCAGATATAACACACCGTTGGCATTGTGCCCCCGTTGCATCTGCGTTATTGCTCGTTGTCGGACACAACAGATTTCGTATCGGACACCTTTCAGAATGTATCGACTCTCGCGTCAATCGCAATAAGCGTAGCTCGATGTAATGGACCAGGAATGATATATGTGACAGATGGTTGCTGTTCAAATTGTGCATATGCATCTCGATTTTCTTATGTAGTTATATTGATTGCTTGGAAACAAATGCATTTTGGCAAATTTTTTCGAGATATTTTCTAACATAAACTATTTTTATATATTTCAACTGTATAATAAATAATTTAAGATACTAAAAATAACGTATTTAAATATAATTCGAAATTTTTCAAGATATTGTTTGAAGTTTAACTAAAAACTGGAAGAGCTAACTTTGCCGGGTAATACCTATAAAATACCCATTGCATATTGAACATTACTTACTTCCTTGGCGAGTTTTATATGCACAATACGTAGTTGAAAATGTGAATAGCGTGTCTCGTGTATTTCTCGGGAAATTCTAGATTTCACTCGCGTCAGTTTTCTCGAAAATTCCATCGAACCGTGTCGAGAGAGAAGTTCTTCTACGGGAAAAAGTTGAAGTCACTCACCGATTGGCACGTTGACAGCGAAGAGAACGACAAGGGCGCGATGGTAAAGCATTGTGCGCTGCGATGAGAAAGAGAGGAGCCGAGGGAATCGTCCGCCGTCGATGGCAACCAGGCTCCGCTCCCTTTATCTACTTAACCCCGTCATCTTCTGCGCGGACCTCCGTTTCCGGTGCTCTGACGCATAGCATGCCTGAAACAATAGCGTTAGTTCGATCATTTAACCGATCGGGCAAGCGTCATCGGCCCTGTCGTTGTTGCTCGCCGCTTTATCGTTCGTTTCCAGCGAGCGAACTTTCGGTCTCGTCGGCATGTTGCAGCTTTGCATCTCGAGATCTATCACCAGTGTCGTCGCGTCGTGTTCGCGTTCTCCGGTCGAGCGTATCGTTTCGCTTGATGACATTCATCGATCGTATCTCGACTAACTTTGCTAAGAGCAGAGCGCCGTTAATTTTGCGCTGCCCCCTAAATAAGAAATTACTTTGACATTTTGGACGCCGCGTTTACGGTCACTGCGCGATTAATTATCAATGCAATTGCACCGCGCGCGCGCGCGCGCGCGCGTGTTTCTTTGTTCGAGAAATATAAATGCGATTGGTAAAATTAAAACGTTTATTTATCAACAGTCTTATTTCTTTTTGGGTTGATATATTATCAAGAAAAATATATTAAGGCAATAATTTGTTATTCATTTTAACCGACTTAACTTTGCAGCATATAAATCAACATACAATTATCTTTATAAAAAACATTAATGCAGAAAAGCTTTTTTCTTTTTAGAAATATACTTTTATGTTAAATGAAATTTAGATAATATCTCTCGCAGTATTTCCGGAAACTATTATTTTTTTATTGCGGTATTATTTATATGAATCTTACATTTATAAAATAATGAACGTCATGATAAATTTAATTACATCGCTGTTACAGTTTTGACGAGCGCGCTGTCGGCTAAAATAAGTTATTTCTGCGGATTTATAAATTATCACGAGCGCCGGCACAGAATTTACGAGAACGAATGCGGATGGAATGCAAATAGCACGTTTGTCACGTTTATGTAAGTACGTGTCACGTATATATTCGGCGATAAATTGCTCCTAAATGCATTTCCGCTTTAGACGCTTTCTGTCGTCGTGGGAGAGATTAATCACACGTGTCTACCGTCTATTATTTTATGACTTATGTGCACCGCAGACAATATAGCGATGTTACGGAGCTTGTGTAAAGTGGTCGATTTTATAAATACCACATAAGTTCCGCTTAATACGCACAGTATGGTTCGCGATTCACAATTTACTTCCGTTCATTATACACACGATCGTTAAGCGACGATAAACTGCCAGTAATGTCATTTATTTCCGCCCGAATATCCGGTCCTCGATCATCATAAAATAATCAGAGCGTTGCCCAGGTTATTGTATCGGTTGTCCCGTGATGATATATTAATAAATAGATAAATAAAGTTGCAATTAAATATAAGTGTGCCATAAGCAACGCCAAATCTTGATATTTTCAACTTAATATATATGAAATATGCATGAATTTAATGTGATTAAAATATAATTAAAAAATTTTTATATAATTAAATGATATTTTATGTAATATAATTTTCTTCAATTTTCTTCAATTTGAGCCATCAATTTAGTCCGTATGAAAAAAAAAAAGCTTGTATTGCAAAGTATGCTTGTTGAAGAGTAGAATAAGAGATATATAGAACCTTTGTTTTTTTATCGGTGAATATTATTAATTACGCTTCTCCGCGTATGAATATCCCTACCTTCTCGCATGTTTCATAACCGTGTCTACTTCCGTCGATTATCGCTCGTTTAACGCGGCGCATTAATCGAACTAAAACATCCGAGTGCCGCCCTATTCGTCGCCCGTTTTGTTTCCGTTTCATCAGCGCGCGAAGAATAATACGTTAACACAATGAACGAACGCGCAACTCGATTATCGATGCTCGCAAGTTTAAAGCAAACAGAGTGCGGAGAAAGGGACCGCGGCCCTTCGTCATCGACATATCGAGACGAGACGGCGGGGTAAAATGCGAAACACGAAGCTAGAACGACGCCGCGGTTCGTTATCGGGGATGTGAATCCATATCAGCGTCGACAACGGGCGACCGCAGGGCGACGAGTCACTCGGCTCTCTTGCACATAAGTGCAAAAAGTGTCCAATGGGGTTAACGTTAATTTGCATTCGTGCGTTATCTCTCGACGGCGTTATCTCCCTGGCCTGTAACCTGCCTGCCTCGTTTGCGACCAGCAAAACAGAATGATAATCCAAACTGTTGCCGCATTCGCGGACAGTCGATGAAGAAACATACGATATCTATATTTGCCAAAGTAAGTTCACATACGTTTATCGTCTCGCAAAAAGTTTCCGCGAAGACTAAGATAAACCTGGAAATTTATAGAAGGATCTATAATTAAATGTGTTATCTTACAATAGATAAAGCGATTCAATCAATTTTGTTGTCTACTAATCCTGTCTTTTTGTAATTATAAATGTAAAACGTGTATTAGAACGGGTTAAAGGAGAAGGATATCGTGCCGATAAACGGCGCGTACGCAAGGATGTTACGTGCATAGATTACAGGATAAGCAATGGGTGGTTTGTGATAAAGCTGGCGTGCAAGATAATGCGGCCGAGATAATTATTTTTCAGCTACGACTGTTGGTAAATCTTATTTCCTTTTCGTGATTAATTGGCGGACCCCAGGCGGGAGTGTGATAATGGATGTGAGATAGATAGGCTAGGAGTCCGAGAGAGGATGAAAAACAGTTCCTTGAATAAATGTCGGACGCACCATCTTGATGCGCATGAATGACGACCATACTGATATATGCAGATCGCTACTTGCGAGAAATTCTAATTATAAATTTTACTACGTGTTAAACATAATTTCCTTTATCTGTATAAAATGTTTTAAGAAGAAGCTCGTAATATTATTTGATATCTTTATTTTAGCATTGAATTTTGTGATAATTAGTTAATTTCCTAAAAAGGTGCTTTTCTCTATAATTTTTGTGTATAAGATGAAAACTTTTATCTCTCTAATAAATTTAAAAAATTGTAATTTTTAATTTAAAAGCGGCTTTTTTAACATACATAATATGTCTGCATTTCTCAGCTTTTAAATTAAAAATTTTTATTTATTTAACAAAAAAGTTAAACAAATTATTTAAAAAATGATTGAATTTCAGAATATTGATCTCCAATTTTATAAAAACAGAGCAATTTTTTAGACTCCCCGCAGAACTTTAATATTTCCCTATGTAATAATTACTTGAAAAAATGCTTATTTTCATTTATTGCTCATTATATCATCATTATGCATATGTTTTTCAAAATCCCTTCAGTATTGCAAGTTTGTGGCAAAATGCATTAATCGAGCTCCGGAGAAAAACCGGGAATCGACGGAAGGATGATATGAAAACCAGTGAAAATATGAATGAGGAAATGATTAAATTTGATACACTACTCTGTCAGACGATTCCCGAGTGCTTTGACGAAGTTCGGTTCCGTTCGCGAGAAAGAGACAGAGTCAATAAAGGTTACCTACTTTAGATACGGAATATGTAAGACGCGCGCACATGCGAGCCACCCCGGTGTACGGATAGATAAGTCGGCGAATTCGTGAATATTCAGCGATTCCGTCGACCTTTTCCGAGACGAGTTTACGGCGCTCGGCCTCGCTTTTACGAGTTTGTCAAGATGAAACGACTTCGTGTCGAATCGACGAGTCATTTTTTTCATACTGTCGTCGTAGACGCGTGCGAAACTGAGAACTCGACGACATTGCGGGAATAAGAGTCTAGAATCTCGCTTTAACAAACGATACTGTTAGAGTTACGTTAAGAAATAGTTTGAGCCCCCCGAAAGGTCAGATTGAGATATGGATAGGGTTGCCAGATTTGAAAATCCCGAATGGAGGACACGAAGCAGTTTTACCATAAAATATTGCAACCCTAATTATATATTTATTATATATATAATTAATATATTTTAAATTATATCTATTATATCTATCGTCTAGGAAGCAGGGAGGTCTCTAGTTTCTTCTCAAATAGCACCGCTTGACGAAAAAAAAGGGGGAAACATTTGCTGAAATTGGAGGAGGTGTACGGATAGATAAGTCGGCGAATTCGTGAATATTCAGCGATTCCGTCGACCTTTTCCGAGACGAGTTTACGGCGCTCGGCCTCGCTTTTACGAGTTTGTCAAGATGAAACGACTTCGTGTCGAATCGACGAGTCATTTTTTTCATACTGTCGTCGTAGACGCGTGCGAAACTGAGAACTCGACGACATTGCGGGAATAAGAGTCTAGAATCTCGCTTTAACAAACGATACTGTTAGAGTTACGTTAAGGAATAGTTTGAGCCCCCCGAAAGGTCAGATTGAGATATGGATAGGGTTGCCAGATTTGAAAATCCCGAATGGAGGACACGAAGCAGTTTTACCATAAAATATTGCAACCCTAATTATATATTTATTATATATATAATTAATATATTTTAAATTATATCTATTATATCTATCGTCTAGGAAGCAGGGAGGTCTCTAGTTTCTTCTCAAATAGCACCGCTTGACGAAAAAAAAGGGGGAAACATTTGCTGAAATTGGAGGACAAATAGCGTCCTCCGGAGGACAGAAAAAATTTTACTAAATTGGAGGACTGTCCTCCCGATTGGAGGACGTCTGGCAACCCTAGATATGGCCCAAATAGGCTGGATGCGTCGTTGATTGCGATTATCATTCATTTGTTTCATTCGTTCATTTTAGTTTCTGTTTGGCGAGTTTTTGTTTGCCGAATTTTTATCTGTATAATCCGATTACCGATATCTCACCTTAAGAAAGTATAATTTAACAGCAAAACGTACGATTTGAGATACAAAAATACTCTTATTAACGAGTTAACAAACAAAATTTATAAACTATATAATTATATTATCACGAATATATCGATATGCATTCAAAAATAAATACAATCTTTCGCGCAAAATCCTTCCTTATCTATTTCGATTAATATCGATAGTATTCGTTCGTGGCATCATCAAGATTTTACGTTGCATACTATAAAATACGTTGTAATTATTTGATTGACATTGTTCAACATTTCAGAAGAATTAATATTTTTTAATTACTCTTGAATTTCAATGCAACACGGTAAAAAAAAAAAGAAATAAGT